CCGGTCGACGAAGTTTTCGGCGAACTTCCTGGAAAACTTTTTTAGGTCGTCTAAAAAAAAAATTGTGCAAAGGAATGTTGACGAAAAAAAATTCTTGCAAGCCATTGGGGGATGAAAAAATTGCACAGAAAAATTGCCCAACCCCCCCTCAAATATCTAATGGTCCGTCCCTTAGTATGTGTCATTCTGCTAGTATCATTCAAAGGCATTCAAAATTATTGCGGTGGGGGAGGGGCAAGTGTTCACCACTGCTATAACATATTAGTTTTGTGACCTCTAATGGCAAAACCTGTACATTTCTCACCTCCCATGAAGACACTCGCACCCACAGTTCTCAGGGCATCGACGACTTTTTCCTCGGCGTTACTTTCAGCAGAAAATACGAATGAATGTGCTAAATGCGCACTGTAATCAACTGCAAAACCAATAGCCATCACCAGGTTGATCATCGAGATCGAATTTAACGACACACCCCACACATGCATCAAACCTACAAAGAGACATTAATTTTAGGTCATCCTGTATCACACTGCACAATAATGCACCGTACTGTATTTTGTTACTGTCATAATGGTTAACGAAACTATCTATTCATCAAACAAGTGGCAATGGCTACTTTGTTCAGGGTCAGGGCAGGCAGGGGGGATTGCTCCAGGCCCCCACCTTAATATAGAGCCTAAAACTGAGTAGGTTCTTTAAATTGGTCAGAGCATTTTTTAAATTGAGGGCCCCTTACAGTAGCTCCACATGCAGTCTAGCTAAGGTCTGGTTGGGGGATCGACTTGGGCCTAGCTTAAAAATGATGTCATAGGGCTCCCAGAGAAGATTTTCCCCAGGCCCCGTGAATTCTCTCGGCGGCCCTGACTTTGTTATTCAACTTATTCCAATTTCTCCAAATGGATGATTCCAGCATAGCCCTGCGAAATTTGCAACACCACATTAGGGCCGAAAGTGATACATTTTCCGGCACGTAATACAAATTTTGCAAATTTCGCAGGGCTATATTTTCCGCATTTTACAACATTTCGCGGCCAAACTTTGCAATTTTACTAATTTTAACATGCTCTTTCTAGCTGTGGTGATGGATTTTGTTGTTCTTGCTTAGATTAAAATCTAGTCTATACCTGGAATTTTTTGGACATTTTACTGGATTGAACTGATGTTGAAGTGAAGGGTTTATATAATGTATAAAATTCAGGGAGGAGGGCCTGCGGAGGAGGCAGGTTCCGGACATTGAGAAATATTTTTTACAGCATGATGGAGAGCTCGTGGCTTACCTAGTAGTTCAAATATAAGCGATGCAAATCCCAAGAGAACGAGCAAAATAACCAAGGGGTTCACCAAAAACAGACTGGTCACAACCGCGATAGCTGCTGCAGCAAGAGCTAGATTCCGTATGGTTTCTGGTAGAGTCGAAACAAACTGCTCAATAAATATAAACACGTAAGCATTCGCGAACACAGGCAAGGTAGTTTTTTCCTTTAGGTCGTCACGAAGTGAGAGCATGGCATCTCGAAGTGTAACAGAACTTGATGTCCATTTAAGAAAGCAGTAGAAACGGGAAGCCTTAATGGTAGAGTTGTCGTCCGCAAACAGGATATCTTTCCGGAACTGTGGTTGACTTTTCAGAAATTGATCCAGAGAACCTAGGACGGGAAAAATAATATTTAATATTTCTATTGCGCGATTTTACATATGTGTATGATCATATCACATATGATTAGGTTTTATGATATGAAAAATATATGCAACCAATTGAAAAATGAGGTGTCCGGGTTGGAGAGGGATGCGCAATTAGAGAGGTGTTCGTATTAGAGAGGTGAACGTATCAGAGAGGTGTTCGTATTAGAGAGGTGTTCGTATTACAGAGGTGTTCGTATTCGAGAGGTGTTCGTATTCGAGAGGTGTTCGTATTAGATAGGTATTCGTATTAGATAGGTGTTCGTATTAGAGAGGTGTTCGTATTAGAGAGGTGTTCCGTTCGTATTAGAGAGGTGTTCGTATTAGAGAGGTGTTCAAATTAGAGAGGTATTCCTACTTTAGGTACGTACGTAAGGTACGTTTATACGCGATGACTTGTTGTATACGGTTCGTATTCAGACGTATGTAATGGAATATGAAACACGACAAATCGTACACAACCATCCGCAGTGTGTAAACGTACCGTTAGAGGGGCGTAGAGCCTGGGAACGAGGTTGGGGCGTTACCTAGAGGGAGGTTACTTACCTAGTAAACTTTTATTAGTGTTTTGAGTTTGGTACCATCTCTGAAGCTCAGCGTACCATGATCTGACAGTAGGACGGTAAAATTCGTTATCCTCTATGATTTGAGACAGATTATTAATTTTCATTTTTGTGGCTGGATCAGAATAATTCACATCAGCTTCTAAGATGAGATCAACTTGAACATCTCCAGTAAAATAGTCTTCCAAAGCATCTAGGAATCTTATAAATTCCGAGCCATCTTTCGCTAGGTCTCTGCGGTCGAATTCTTCGTTTACAAACGTCGTACCGTATATCCCAAGAGCAAGTAGACAAATTGAGACAATCACTACGACAATCTTGGTGGGGGTCTTCATTAAGAATCTCCCCCATACCTCCATTATCTTGTTTGAGGTTTGGGGTCGGGGTTCATCCCAGCGTGGTGCCCCAGGGCGTGGCGGTGGGGCTTCGAGGCAAGGTACCATATCTCTTCGTCCCGCGTTCATACGCCGACAATCGTACGACATAAAAGCGACAAAAATGGTCACGAGGAATAAAAATGCGAATGCTATCGAAAGTGCGGCGTAAGTACAGAAGTAGACTATGGACGGAAATTTGGACGATGTCCCAACCGCAAAGGCTAGAAGGTCCGTCATGGTTGTCATGGTAACGGCTGGTCCGACGATGCGCATGACGGTACTAAGCCGCTTTGGGATGGTCTGGTCTGAATGCGTCCGATCCAACTGATCGACAATGATAAACATATCATCAATGCCGACTCCAACTATGAGAAAAGGCAAGATCGCAGTGATGCTGACAAACGGGGTTTGAGCTAACATGGATAAGCCAAACCCCGTCAAAATCCCAAAAGCGACACACTGCATGCCACTCATTGCCAACAATCCATGGCCGGTCAATGGGTTTAGATACTTGCCTAACATAAAACATGCAAAACTTATCATCAACGTGAAGGTGAGTGCTATGAATTTTATATCGGATCCAGTACTTTCCGAGATTGCGTCATCAATGCTCCGTTCTGCTGTGAAAACTAACGAGCCGCATTCCAAACTACCGAAATTTTCCATTTTTTTCAAAAATTCCTTTTCCCAATCCTGAGTCTTTTCCGAAACCTCGTCATCCAGGCCTACTCCTCGCATGTGATAAATCATCCTTAAAGCTTGCGCTGAAATAATTGCGTCATTACTAGCATTACGAGTAACTTTGCCAAGAATCCTCGCAAATAACCCCGTATTCGTTGGCAAGTACTTGTTCAATGTCGGTACCAAATTGGTAAAATTTGAAGTGTAGTTGAAAATCCATAACGGCTCTTCTCGTTCGCAGAAACTGAAGCTCGCAAAAGGATCAGTTTTTATGTTTGGCAAACAAACGTCTTGATAACCTGGAATAGAGATAACCAACTTATGCAGCTTCAAAGCGTCTCTAAAACACGCTTCCTTCAAAACATTTCCACCACTGTGCAATATAATAACCTCAGCTTGCCGAGATGGACGGTAAAACCCATAATCTCCAGCCTTTTCGAGGTTTTTAACTGATTCACTGTTCTTCGGTACGTACAGTTTCTCTGTTCGGTTTTCAGTTTTCATAAAAGCAAACCCAGAGGCAAATGCACCCAATACGACCAAGCCTACGGCAATAGTTATGACAGGATGCAAGCCAATTGCCTCTCCTAGCCAGGCAAACAATTCGGAAATTTTGCGATTGTACCATCCACATAACTTTAACCAAAGCTGCCAAGGACTGACGCACCTGAATGAAAGAATCACAATTAAAATTAATAAAAAATAAACGAAAGGAAATAAAACGAAAGGAAAGCTCAAATACTGGTTATCAGAACTCAAATGTTGTAGAATATTATTATTGCTAATAAACTAATCGTGCACCGTGACTTATTTCAATACATCAAAATAATCGCGACTCACATCTCACACTGACAGAGCGGGATCATATATACAGGCCCTTATGCAGCAAATTGTGCATGCTGCCTTTGATCCCTTGGGAGTGAGGCAGCACTTTCCTTGCAACAGCAACTTATATCATTACTAACATAACGTGTTAACTTACAGTACTTCTCTACTGCTGGCTGTAGAAACGGGTTTATAAATCTTCATGTTTTCCCCTTCGCTTTTACAGTGCTGCATGGGATGTTTAAGACGCTAGAACTAATTTTCCATGTATTGTATACACTAGTACCGCATGATAATGATACCGCGTCTGGCCGCGAATTAATTGAAGTAATTCGGCAAAGCTTTGATGTATTTGTATAGCTTTACAACTATTGTTTCAAACTGAATACAGTAAAGCCTCGTAACGATTGAACGATACAGTATGTAGACAAGTAATCATCAATTAGATACGCAACAACTGAATGTGACAGCTGCTGCATACAAATACGTATATATTAAGAGCCTAATATGAATAAGTTATGATAACGATGTTTTTAGTGAACTGCAGGTTGAGAAAATATGTATCTCTTCCTGACAGTAAAAATTTTTTTTTTCCGTTGTGTAAGTCAAATCTATAGAGGATATTACACGAAGATAGGACTTTTATCTTTGAGTGGTGAAAACAGTATTGTTTTAAACACGAGAAGACAAAAGTCATATCTTCAAGCCACCGTGTAATGTTCTGTTTATTATATAGTCCCAACCAGAAAATTGTATAAATACTAAAAGTCACGTGATCGATATCTTCACTAGTGAAGCAGGGACGCCGGAACGATGTGAAGGCAAGGAGGGGGGGGGGCAGATTTTCGTGAAAGGGCACTTTTGAATTGATATATACTAAGAGATGTTTACAAAACATCGGGAGTTGAACTTCGCCTAACCATGTTTTCTATTTATTGGATGATAGGGGTGTGAGGGGGTTCTCCGCCAGGCGATTGTGCTATAACTGCTATTCTTGAAGCTCGATGGCTGCATTTTTTGCATTTTCTGAAGCAAATTCGTAAAAGAATTGCACCAACATTTCTGACTTTCGCCAACATTTCTGACTTTCTGAATTTGCTAATTTCGCCCACGCAATCCTTTAAATTGAAAGGGCACCTTTGCCCACCTTGCCCACCACCCCCCTGGTAAAGGGCAACAGGGGCGGCTGCCCCTCCTGCCCCCCCAGTTCCGGCATCCCTGCTAGTGAAGATATGGAAAATATATCACTGTGTATTTTTCAGTATCTCACTCTCTACTATATAATAAAAAACTTTCTGTATATGTAGATTTCAGAGAACGTATAGTGCCGCACATTGTGATAAACTTCAATCTCGGCGGCACAAGACAATCCCGACATGTAATTTCTCTTTTGGAATTTTTACAATAATTAAATTATTTGGCATTCCAGTATATAAGATGACAAAAATTTCCTGCAAGATGTGAGAAAATTCCTGCAAGGATGTTTTAATGTTAAAAATTTCCAGACGTGTGTAAGTCATATATAAAACCTCTTGTATATGTACATTTCAGAGAACGTATAGTACATTATGATAAACTTCAATCTCGGCACAAGACAATCTCGACTTGCAAAACGCTTGATATATATAAAGATAACAAACATTTCTCGCAAGATGTAAGAAAATTTCCTGCCAAGATATTTTGTTAAAAATTTCCTGGCAGCGATGCTGCTGACGCTGTCGGACATTTTCCAGCACTGGTCAATAGAGAGGTTAAGACTTCCTGATACTACACACTATCTGTCACTGGCTTAGTACTCATCTGATTGGCTAATCGGATATATCAAACTCATTTGATTGGTTAATCAGATGTATCAAACTCATCTGATTGGTTAATCGGAGATTGTGCACGATCAGGACTTATAATTTGCAACTGGCAAAGTTCACTCCTGTCAGCGGGTAGATACATATGAAATTACCAAAATGGTTTATAATATTTTACTCAGTCTAACATCAGGATTTTACTTGTCAATGCTTGCTCAATATTAGTGTAACCCTTTAAGTGGCAATGCACCCTACTTTAGTATTTTACTCTGTCTAATGCCAGACTATTTTACTCGACGATTTTACTCGTCAAGTAGAGAGTGCTGCCACTCAATGGTTTAAAATATATCTGAAAACTTCATATTGATACAACTACCTAAAATACACAAGGAGAGCTTCAAAGTTCTTGAAGTTCTCTGGTAGTTGTATCCCTATAAACCTGAAGCTTTTTATCATTGCCTACACTGGTACAGACCATTGAAGATTAAAATAGGTTTCTTTGACCAATGGTAGATTCGCCTTATTATGTTTTTGTGGCGCTTTGCATTAATTGTGATTAGTCGTATCACTGATAGTCAAGATGGCTTATTTTTTGTCCTGACCCGTGCAAGAACTTTTAAAAAAAGCTAGGGTCAGGTGTGTGATAGCCAATATTTTCATTCAAGGCCGCTATCTTTATCAGTGATACCACTATAACCACAATGCAAAGTGCTATGAAAACGTAATAAGGGGAATCATCAATGGACCTTTCAACTTTTGACTAAAATTTAGATCTCAACAAGTCTAGACAAAAATTTTATCACAGCTTGAAAAAGCATCACAAAATTAGTAATATTCCAAAGTTTCATTGCGAAATGTTGTAAAATGCGGATAATATAGCCTTGCGAAGTTTGCCATTTTCAGTCATTTTGTATTACGCGCGGGAAATACATACCTCCTTCGGAAAAAGGGTATGTATTTCCCGTTTGTAATACAAAATGACTGAAAAACGGCAAACTTCGCAAGGCTATATTATCCGCATTTTACAACATTTCGCAACGAAACTTTGGAATATTACTAATTTTGTGATGCTCTTTCAAGCTGTGATAAAATTTTTGTCTAGAGTTTTTGAAATCTAAATTTTAGTCAAAAGGTGAAAGGTCCATTGGCTGACTATCGGTGGGACAACATATCATATCTAAGCTGCTTGCTTATTGGATTCTTGAGCAGTTTGATACAGAAAAAAGTTGTATGTTTCATACCTTATTGCCATGATGTCCAGTAGGTCAGTGGGTTAAATATCTGCAATGGAAAAGATTTTCAAATTTTAGTAGGTCGGCACACAATGTGGGTGAGGGCACCTGGATCTAATTTCTCAAATATGTTAAACATCACAGCTCATATATTCAAACAGGGTTAAGGACTCACACCCTGGGGAAGTAGGGGGATATAGCAGATCCTCTATTAGATCAAAGTGAATGTGGTGCTTCAATAGCTTGTCTTCAGAGCATTAGTACCTTTGACCTCTGACATTGTGTGTTCGATTCTCGCCAGGGACTCATGTGAAAAGAGTCGGTCAATGCTCTGCCGAAAGTCGTGGGTTTTCTCCGGGTGCTGGTTGAAGATGTGGTACAGTCCGTATGTAAACAAAGGTGTTGTTTACATGTCGGTATCCAAAATATTGAATTTTATTCGACAACTATTTATGATTCTAGAGTATAATAAATTATCAAGACACAACAATTAAGGTTTGCAAGACCATAAAATGAAATAAAAACCTAAATAAACTGTTTGTATATAATAAAAAGAGGGCTCCTTGAACCAAACTTGAAGGTCAAGTCCCAGTCTTTTAAGGCATACAAAGAGCACTCAATCATGATATAAACATGTGTGAATCTTACCCCCAGACACACACATGTCTGGAGGTAAAATTTAGCTTCAAGAAAAAGATAGGCAATATATCTGAAGGTAGCATTCCAGTTATATTCATTTCAGTGGGTTTTGCTCATACGGGTTTGCTTGTGAATTCATTTATCAACCAAGCCTTAAGTAGAGGTGGATTGGAGCAAGTCTATGATCCATCGTGCTCCATTAGGAGACTCAGTTGGATATGAAAAGGTTAATCAAATATTAGTTCCCCCCTTTTAGCCAACAATGTATTAAATACACAATGTCCTATGTTAATTACTGACACATAGACAGCCACATCAGGGGGCAATGTATCAAATTACTATCACATATTTTGTATAAATTTTGTATAAACATGACACTTCGTATTTTATAGACATTTTTGTTTCTAGTTGTTTCTATTGAAAGACATTTTCAAAATTCACAAGAATATTGCCATACTAAAGGTTTAAAATTTGGTAGAATAATGTAAATAATTCTATACAGTATTCCAGCTGCTTTAAAACAAATATAACATATTTTAAATTTCGAAGTATAGTGTATATAAAATATGACAATTATTATTAAAAATATACCCACAAGCTAGGTTTTGCTAGCCTATAGTAACTGACCAGCACAGATTGAATACAAAATTAGGTACAAAAGCTTCAAACTTTTCCAACTCAGATTTCAAACGCCATAAATGGTCGGGCGAAAGCAATGACTTCATATACGCAGTCTAAACTTACCAAAAATTAAATCAACCTGATACTCAGAGTTTTCAAGTTTCAAACAATACGATATTTGATGTCCAAAATCTATTCGCCTCAGAATTTTTAGGATATTCCTTGTTATATCGAAAAATCAATTTTGTAAGTCCATCATTCGAATGTCCTTTCGACAATGTCAAGCAAACTAATATTTGCGTCAATTATATTAATTAAACGCTTTCATATTAAATATTCTCCAGTTGACAGATGCTCCATTTTATAATTTTGCATAAAATCAGATTATGTTCTTTTGTATCAAATGTACCATTCTTGTCAAAGTTTTCACCAGAAAGCTACTGGTTATTGGTAAATACTTCCTTTATCCTGATTTAAAATTTAAATACAGAAAAAAATTGCATCTCATCATTCTCATGTTGTTATTGTAATTTAAATGGACTATATTAAAGCTTACATTGAGTATTCACCATAGTGCATATGGATGGCAGGCGCATAAACAAAACCATTTCCAAAAATTTTGAAGAGAAAGGTTATTTTTTCTTATTTAGTTTTATAAATAATCCAAAGAATTATATCCAATGTTTTGGGATCATTCAAATGTTTATACAGTCTATTACAAGATCTAGGTTACTAAAAGCTGTTACTAATGGCAAGTCGTGGACATTTACACGCTCAAAATCAGACAGCGCCGTGAACGTTTTTAACAGACAGGTGAAACGGTTGCAGAAGAACAGAGCTGCATTGCTGCCCAACACTGATGATTACGATTATCTCAAAGACGAAGTCGCTAGAAGGATTGTAGATCGACTTAGCGACGTTTCCCGCCATTTTCCACTAGTTCTAGACCTAGGTTGTGGAAAAGGTCACATTGCAAAAGCTCTGACAAAAACCCACCTGACCTCCCTTGTGCAATGCGACTTGTCTGAAGAAATGTTACAAAGCTCATTCATCCACCCGGATATTCCAACTAAAAAATTAATTGTGGACGAGGAATTTCTACCCTTTGGCAAAAATACTTTTGACGCGGTACTTAGTAGTTTAAGTCTCCATTGGGTTAATGACCTACCAGGCGTGTTCCGGCAAGTTAAGTCCAGCCTTAAAGATGACGGCATGTTCTTAATGGGTTTGTTAGGTGGGGAAACATTATTTGAACTTCGTTGTTCCCTACAGCTTGCTGAGCTTGAAATTGAAGGAGGTTTTGGTCCTCACATATCACCATTTACTGAAATGACTGATATTGGTAATATAGCCAGTCAGACGGGGTTTAATCTAATAACGGTGGACTATGATGAAATTATTGTTAACTATCCAAGTATCCATGAGCTAATGGATGATTTACGCGGCATGGGTGAGAACAATGCATCATGGGCTAGGAAAAATGTTTTGCAACGTAAGACGACAGAGGTGGCATCACAGATATACCGGGAAATGTATGGTGACAGTAATGGCAATATTCCAGCAACTTTTCAAGTTTTGTTTCTCATTGGTTGGAAACCGTCAGATAAGCAGGAGAAACCTGCTGAGCGTGGTTCAGGGACATTTAGTCTTAAAGATATCGATAAGATAGATTTTGAGAAATAGTTAAATATTAAATTAATAAAATATGTTTTATAGATAAGCATTATCAGGCTTGATTATTATTGGAATGATATTTCCTTATGTATCAGAAAACCTATTGTGGACTCTTGTTATTGTGACATCATTATGACATAGTTGACACCATCACCATCATCATTACCATTACCATCATCACCATTACCATCATAAATATCACCACTGGCCACTATCATCACTATCACCACCATCACCTGACCAACACAAATATCACCACTGGCCACTATCACCATCACCTAATCACTCGTCATTTACACCTTTGCAAGGGATGAACCAGGCGGGAATCGTAATCTAATAATAAATATCAATGCCCAGCATATTGTCCGTATAATAATAGCCATGACATTTTGAAGAGAAATTTTCATAAATTTAATTATTTGTATTTGTAACGAATGATATAAAATTACATGCATATATAACTTTGTAATTTTATATCATTCTTTACTCTGAAGATGTCTTATTAAGTGCAAGACGAAACGTTAGTTCTGTAAATAATTAAATTTATGAAAATTCCTCTTTGTCATGGTTATTATTATACGGACATTATGCTGGGTATTGATATTTATTATTAGATTAATTTACACCTTTCACCACCACCATTCTCGAAGTAATATGACCGTCATTCAAGGAGATGAAAACTCTGAATATCAGCTTGACCATCATGCATTAACATGGTCTGAAACTCTTTCCTTGTCCAAGTAACTTGATCACAAAGAGAAGTTCAAAGTTCAACATTTCATAATTGCCATTGGCACTTCAACTTTAATACAAGTGTATTAAATGGCTCATCATAGGATCGATGCTAATACCACAGTGTAACTGATAGTTTACAGTTGATATCTATCTATTTATCAATGGCACATTCTAATACTTATCAAACACGGTGATGTGATAGAAATTATGGAGGAATCTAAAACTTCGAATGAGAGTGAATCGAATTTTGGCCAAAGATCAAGAATTAAAAAATGTTGTTTCTACAGTATTGTTATTGTTTTATACATTGCTGTTCTATCACCTTCGATCTTGCCTACATATTTCTATTTCACGTCAGAGAAGCCTGAACTGAAGGCTGAAGGGAAAAACCATACCTCGGGAAGGTACGTGACTTATCATGGTCTCATATATACATAGATTGTTTCATATATTGTATAATCATTTCCCAAGATATTATGCGAATTGCCTGCATTCTAATTACAAAAAAAAAACAAGAAGTTGCAATTCAGGATTCATTTAAACAAGAGACATGAGCAGATACAGTTCACTGTAACAATGTATCACCCTACATCTAAATGTTTCCTTTTACAAATAAAAATAAAGCTGCTTTCCAGTTAGCCGTTCTTCATACGTGCGTGTACGCACGCACGCACGCAAAAGTTTAAATCCATTTATTAAAATTTTACGAATGAAATAACTGAATAATTAAGAGTTTCATACAACCAGCTCCTGGAATTTATCAAAATAATTCTCAGAATAAACGCAGAGTAGGGTAAAAGAATTCTGAGAAGCCACTTATAAAATTATTTTTTTATTTGGGCATGCAGGTTCAATTCCTGCATGGCTACGGGTTCAATTCCAGCGAGGGACCTAAAGTTGCATTTTTCGCTTCATTTCTTGGTTAGGTCTAATAAATTACCATACCCATCTATTATTATTCACTCGAGTCAAATGCCACAAAAATCTTGATATTTACTTATTTTTTTACTCAGGGTTTTTTCCAGGATTTTCTCTTAGGTCCGTTTTTGCAGAGAAGATTGAGTTTAGCTGAACAGCTAGGGTGGCTGCACTCCCCTACCGGGAGAGAGGGACTGACACCTGTACTCAATAAATGTAGTTGAGATGGAATGTGTTCAAGCAGGGGCACTAAGGGACACTATAAACTGGTTAAAGATGGCAAATGCATAGTTTTTCTTGTGTTGTGAGATGAATTCCAGTCATTTTTTCTTAATTTGGCTTCCAACTGAAAACTAATTTCCATTAAACCTTCTCACCAAACTTTGGTGAGAAGATTGAGTTTCAAAACACAATTCAAGATTGAGTTTTTGGGGCCATTTAACGGCCCTAAAAAATCCCTGAAAAAAACCCTGTTACTGTTTTTAGGAATCTGACTATTTCATCTGGCTATGCTGGTTATAATGTTGGTAACTCATCATACTGCAATCACCCTTTTATCCCACAACAACAACTTCACATTAATATAACCCTATGTGTACCACAGTGTGGCTGGAGTCCTTTGACGAGAGACGAAAATTATCAGATCAATGCAACGACATACACTGCATGTATCATTGCGATAATCTCGTTAATTCTTATCCTGATGACCTGGTGTAAAGTCTCAGAACTGTTGAGTATAACTATTTCAAAATGCATTTGTGCAGGCATTTCATACCCAATAAAATATGTCCTCATTTCCCAGGCAAAATATGGGTCTATTCATTAATTTTCATCAACACAATCTAAATGGCATACATGCAAATCTCTGAAATGATTATTGATATTAAAACTTGTCTGTAATGTAAACAAATCCTTTGTTTACATTTTGCTATGTTTGTAAAAGACATACTATAACTGTATATCTAAAACTTTTTCCGATTTACTATATGTAAATGAATATAAACTAGAGTACGTTTCAATTCAAAAAAGGTCGAAAGATGCAAAATTTGGGCAATGTTTATATCTGTGGGTTCCCCTTTGTTATGAGCAGAACTGATGCACAGAACGGACTTGACATGGTCTTTACCCCATTGAGTCGCATTGCACCCTGATGCACCCTATTTTAATATTTTACTCTGTCTAACGCCAGATGATTTTACTTGTCAAGGGAAGAGTGCTGGCGCTTAATGGGTTAATATTAGTTATATTATTAGTATTACTGATATGGGCTCTTGAAATACCATTTTCAGGTAGACTATAAATTTATGGGTTTGAGAAAATGATACACTATAAGTTTATTTCTTTTTAGGTGGAAATTTCCACATTTTATCATTGTCATTATGTTGACTGAATCAACAACTATTGGTACGTTATATTAAATGTTACTAAAAATTTCAATCGGGAACCGTTAAAGTCATCAATCAAAAGATGATAAAGATTTCATGGTTTGTTTTCTGTAGTAAGTTTTGTGTCTGTGGCAATATTACTTGGAAATGATGTGTTCTGCAGTAGTAAGTTTCTCTCAGAAGCCTCAAAGAAAGCCACAACATTTTGTACATTTCAAGGTGCATTGATCCACTACTTGGAGGGTTCTGTTACACTTTGGTTTGTTGCATATAATGTTGTTGTTGCTAAGGTAGATTTATTTTAAGTTTAATATTTTACTGTGGTGACGCTGATGATGGTGGTGATGAGGATGGTGGTGATGATGAGGATGGTGGTGGTGATGATGAGGATGGTGGTGATGATGAGGATGGTGGTGGTGATGAGGATGGTGGTGGTGATGAGGATGGTGGTGGTGATGATGAGGATGGTGGTGGTGATGATGAGGATGGTGGTGATGATGAGGATGGTGGTGGTGATGATGA